AAAAAAAAAAAAAGATAAGCTACTCTCTCAAGCTTCCATCTCTGTGATGGTAGTTGAGAATCCTCCCAGGTCAAGGAAGGTACCTCTTGCGTGAGTGGCAGATAACTGGTGCATGGCAAAAACAAAACAAAGCCAAAAATGCCCTCCCCATAACAAAACAAAACACTCCAGTTATTTGGACTGCATGAGAGTTTTCTTTGCCTACAGTTAGGATGGGGTTTCCCCAGTGGGGATCAGTAGAAGGTCTGTGGCCAGCAGAGAAACACTGGAGAGAATCGGCAGCAGCCTCATAACACAGAAGCAAGATGAGCATGCCAGAGAGAAAGACTCCACTTACTGCAGAGCAAGCACATATACCTGCACATCTAGGAAAATCCATGTGACCATTCTCCCATAACAAGGGAACGAATAAAAAGACAAAGAAGAAAACAGAAACATAGGTACATATGTAATATATAAACGTGTACACATATGTGTATGTGTATATGTAATAAACATAATGTATATTTCACTTAGGAAATAATTGCTACTAATATTCCCAACAGTTTTTCATTCCCCATTTAATTTAAGGTCTTTTTGTTGTACAGAAGCTTGCCATTTTGAGGGCATCAAATACTGGTTTTTTTCTTTGTAATTTCTTCTATTTCTTTCATGCTTGGAAAGTACTCTCCTGCAAAAGACAATATTATGTCCATAATTCACTATAAAGGTGTTGGCATGGACAGTGTGCTATCAGGTAGGTGCTACTTGGCTTAGGCTACACATTATGTGCAGTCATTTGCTGTAATCAGGATTTCCCATCTAAAGGGTGATTAGCTAGCTTTCCGTCAGAAAGGCCACACTCCAAAGACTACATATAAGTGCTTCAGCTAGTTTCTCTCTGATCACCACCAGATATTTTGCTAATGAATATAGTAATGGTAGAAAAGGGTTTCTGTTGGTAAGATGGATTCTTATTGATGGAATTAATGACATCAGATAAAAATTTCAGAGACACTTTCTGTTCTTGTTTGAACAGTATACAAAAATCGAGGGAATCCTATATCCTGTTTGCTCAGGGATGGCACCAAGACTTGATCCTTAATGAGGTGTTTTGCCTACTACTACTAATTTGATAAATGGTTGCATGTGTGGAAGAATTTGGTCTGAGAATTACTTTCTTTGTAACCTGATAGAGGTTGTGGGGAAGTAGTTAATTCTCAACCACCTCTAACCCTTGGAGACTACTATTAATTAACAAAAATAACTGAAGAGCTATACAAAATCAAATTGGCTTAGGCCAATTCATAAGAACCAGTTCAATATCCACCTGTGTTTTCTTCTAATTTATTTCATGTTTTATCTTTTAAATCTAACTCTTGGTCCATCTGGAGCTTTTAATTTCAAATGCCTACAGGAGTGGAGCCATTCATATAAATGCATGAGACAAGCTGACATTGAACAGGAGGTAGGAAGAACTGTGCCAATTTGCAGAACCCAGGGGGCCACCACTCCTCTGTTCATGCCAATTCTGGCCATCTGGGGATGACAGTCCAGTATTGCTATATTTTCTGATTTACTTTTTCTTCACAGTTTTTCTTAAACATTTATATTTTGTTGAAAATTTTTCTGATTTTTAGAATACCATGCAACAAACAGTTTATATTTGTGGCCCAGTTATGGTACAATGGTGACCAGTTTATAATATTTGCTTTATCATGTAAGAGGTGAATTAATATATTTTTTCCCTCCAAGTAGGCAATTTTCCCCAAAACTGTTGAAAACACAGCCTTTCTTTTTAAATTCATATTCTTCCTTTACCAAACACTGTATACTTGCATATTAGCAGCTATTATTTCCCCTATGTTTGGGTAAATTTGAGAATAACTTGTCCATCTCCAACAACATTCAGATTTTGACTTGGAATTTTAATTGCAAATTAAGTCCTTATTGCTTCAAATAATTTTTAAAACAAACAAATTTTATTTTATTTATTTTTTAAAGATTTTATTTATTTATTTGACAGAGAGAGACACAGTGAGAGAGGGAA